GCTTCCCCAGGACGTCTGCTCCCCTGGCCCTGCCCACAGTGGGAATGGTGCTGTAAAAGGGAGGGGAAGAAGGTCCTTGGTGGTTGGGCATGGGGGGTGGGGTAAGAGAGGCAGGTCTGGCCAGGTCTGACCTTCCCCTCTCCTGGCTGGCCTAAGCCTTCGCCTTCTTCTTGCCAGAAAGGTTAGACAGCATCATTCTGACTCCAGATCTCCAGGCACAGTTTTCTGGGTCCTGAGCACCAGTCTCCTCACTCTGAGGGGTGGCGGGAAGATGCAGGGGGACAGAGGAACACAGCTTTTGTCAAAGGGCCCCAAGCCAATGCATGATTTCCTTCTGATGTGAGCTTCTGGTGCTGGTCTGACTTTCCCTGCCTGGACCCTCTCTGCTCACCAACGAGGCTGTGTCCTGTGTGAACGACCAAAACCTTTTTAATGTCACCCATCATCAAGTCATGCTACTTTACGTACCAGTTTGTTCCTAAAGGGGTAACTGGGTGCCCACAGCCACAGGCAGCTGCGCCTGGTGGGACAGACTGGGACCTGCCAGGATGTCTGCTTTCTGGTCAAATGCTCAAGCAGCCCGACATGCCGGGGACACACAGACAGAGGAATACTAAACACTGAATACATACACAAATAGACGAGATAAAATATTTGTCTTGCTTAGAAGCCAAGGGCAAAGATATTTGTGGAACGGTAGGTATGTGTCTGTGTTTGAGGAAGCGGGGGCAGGGGAGGGTGCTGATAGCAGGAGTTGGTGCGTGTGGGGAGGGCAAGGGAGGGGAAGCTGTTGCTTTCACTACTAGATCCGAATGCTTTCCTGAAATTGCTGGTGGAACTGCAGAAGGGAGAACTTTGCTCCGTGGTGACATTGCATCTGGAGTGTTCCAGGAAGGGGAAGAACCTGAATGACATTCAGAGGTGAAGACAGAGTCCATGAAGAGAGGGTATACACCCAGGCATGAGGGGATGGCTGTGTTACCTCGAAAAGTCTGGGAGGGGTACTTGCTGGGATGGGGAGAATAGTAGAGAACATAGCTTTTAGAGTTCCATTAAGAGCAGCCGGGGGCTTGGGGCAGCGGGAGGAGGGGGCTGGGAAAGTCCAGGTGACAGATGGCCAGGCTGCTGCTGGAATGCAGAAGAAGGAAAGAGAGTCATGTAGGAATTAATAGCGTATATTGAACAGGGGGGACCACACACCTAGCTCGTATCCAGGTCTCCCTGGAGACAATGTTTTCATTAAATAATCACTGTAGAAATCCACAGTCCTCAGTGCCTTGCCCCTACCTCTCAGGGCAGAACGTGAGTCTCTAGGACTGAGCTAGACCATGCTGGAATCAAGGTACTGTGGCCAGACAGTAGAGGGCGCTGTGACTCTAACAGAAGTTAAGCAGAAGCCACCAGAAGGAGGAAGCAGGCCACCGGAAGGGTTCCCGTGGGTTGTTGGGTTTGCGCTGTCCTGGTTGGCCTTTAGTGCCCAATAAACACAGAGTGACATCCGTATAAGTAATCGCAGGGTTTCCCCAGGATGGACTGAAATAGAATGGAGGGGCCAGAAGCTTCTTTAGCCATCATACCATTTGGCTTTTGCCCAGATAGCAGGGAGCCATAACCATTAATGCTTCTCTCCTGAAATGGGAAGAAAAAAAAGCCTCCCTCATTTTTAATAACTTTATTCCCCAAACTTCAAAAATGAAATTGCCAAGTTAAGAACTTGCCTTGAAAAAAAATTTCTAATTTATTATAAAGAAGGTCCGGGGCTTGGGAATTTTTTAATGCAGATTCCTAATTTTCCAAAGTGAGATTCTCCTGTGCATTTGAATAGATTATGCTCGGTATTGCTAGCCCGTAGCACAACGGGAACATTATTAAAACGATTGCATGGGTCTCAGAGGAAGGGCTCTGCTTCTCGCTTCCTTTCTCATTTTGGGGACTTCGTATCAGAGACTGTCCATTTTTGCCTGTGGAAGAAACTGGATTTCCAAGGAGGTGATACAGAGAGGTGCTCTGCTGTCCAGGCCTTGAGGAAACAAGTCAGACCGGATCCAAAAGTAATGAGATTAGACCTAAAGGAATTGAAGGAAGTGGGGAATCCTTCCTGGAGAGCCCCGTTTAGGAAGGGACTCCCCTGTGTGCCTGACCTATGTTCCTATTAGGCCCGGCTTCCCTGAGGACATTGAGTGTCAGAGAGCAGCTGGTTCTCTAGGATAATGAGCATGATGAGGGCAATGGAGCAGGGCTTCCCCTGAGAAGTTGGGTTCAGCCTCTTGAAAGCAGAAAGGGAAGAAGGCAGCAAGTTCCCTGGCAGAAGACTCACACAGAAGACATTCCTATGTGGGAGCCCCTCCTAGGAGCCCCAAAGAATGTGGGAAAGGGACCTCACTCCCTTAAGAGCCAATCGGCCTCAAAGTCCAGTTCTCTCTGGAGCGGACAGCCTTCCCCGAGTAGGAGTCAGAGGTCTTTGCTCTGGGGATCTCACTCACCTCTACCATCCCGCCCGGGCCGTCTCTGCCTGAATAACTCCCCACGACTCCCCATCCTGATTCAGTTTCTTTGGGAACTGCGTTGGCTCAGGGAAGGCCCATGGCAACCCAGCCATAGCCTAGCGGCCTAACCAAGGCCATCAGGACTCCAGACTTTGGCTCGGTCACTTGACCAGGGACGATGACACTTCCTGTCAGACACTTGTTCCCGGGGCCCTGGGGTTACAAATAGATGTGTGGCTTCCTCAGGGCAAAGTATTCCTTTGCTGTAAATGGATTTCCCAAGGTGGAGTCCTGGTGGCTCCTCAGAGAGGAGAGCCTTGCGACAGTCCCGGCCCAGGGCGTCTACTCGGAGGCCCTAGATGGGGACCCGGAGCCTCGCTCCCTCCCCCAAAAGGCTGGAGCCACTCACTGGTGACTTCCGGGGGGCTGAGGGCCCGAGAGCTGTGGCCCCACCTCCATCATGTCCCTCAGCAGCTGGGATGTATTAGTTCTCAGCTGTATGCTGAGAATTAAATTAGGCTCCTGTACTTAATGACACCCGGATCAGCATTCTTGGACCACAGAGGCCCTGCTGCAGCTCTCCCGCTAATCCCCACCAAACCCAGACTTCTCCCAGCTGCCCCAGCAGGCAAAACAAGGCTTGGGGCCGGCGGGAGGGAGGCAGCAGCCACCAGCTTTGCTGGTCCAATGCTCTCTGACCTCTTGGCCCTGCCCTCGTCTGTCCCTGATCGTCGCGTATGAGGCCTTGGCACCCACCACCTGCTAAGGATAGGAAGTGACCCCACGTCCGTACCCCATTTCTACTGTGAAGCTAGGAGAGTAGGATCCAACTACAAAAGAAACGGAGCCAAAGTGCTTAAATTTATCGGGACCCTGGGGGTCCCCAACGCTGCCCGAGCACAGGAGAGGATGACGTCTGTGTCTACTGAGGGAGGAGGAAGCTCGTTCCCCATGATGGCCTCTGTGTTCCTAGGTCTCCATAGGCCAGGCCTCCCGCATTTCATTCTGACTATGGAGAGGAGGGTCCTGACGCGGTGTCGCATGCTTGGAAGCTTTCAAATAGAGGGACCACGTAGATGCTGAGCCCGCCCCTGCGGTCATTCGTGGAAAGCTCCGGATGTGGGCAGGGGCTTGGCCGCATAGGAGGCGGGGTTGGGGAGAGCCGAGGAAGGGGTGTGGAGGTAACATGTTGGAGCACGGGTGGGAATAAAAGGACATGTGTTGGAAGGCTGGGGAATGACAAGTGCTTTTGAATTTCCGGCGGGGAGAGGAGTCAGTGGTGGTCTGCAGGCTGGACGTTCTGTAAAGTGGTGATTTCTTGGAGGCAGGGGGAGGTGGGGGGAATCAGGGATGGTTGGAGCAGCGGCTGTATGCTCACACCAGGCTGGGGGTGTCCGGATCCTCGGACCTGATGTGAGCAAATTCAGTCAACCCTGTGTCTGCTTCTTAATATCCCCCTCGTGCTGCACAGACCTGCTACGTAGTCCCTGAGAATGGCTGCATGTGAAATGCTCAGGAGCGAGGGGCATCCACACAGTAGGCTTTCACTGCTCATTTGCCAGGTCAATGAGTGAACGAGGGCTCTAGCTGGCTCCGTTCACATTACAGATACTCAGTACCCCCTTACCAAAATAGTACTCACTTGAGAGACAAGGGTAGAGAAAATAGGAGGGAGTGAAAGTAAGGGAGGGAGAACCGAGGCCCCTCTGACTGCACAGCCACATCACTAACTCAGAGTCTCCAGAGAACCAAGTGTGGAGAGAGGTGAGCATGGGAGGAAGCACGGGTCCGAAGGGATGGGTCTGAAGGACCAGGGGAGCCCAACCCACAAAAGCTGGGCCGGGCCTCTAGACGGAGGGGAGGAGACAACAGCAAGGCAGTGCCAAGATGCCACCGTCTCAAGAGGGGCAACCAGGATGGAGTCCCAGGAGAGCTCGGGGGGCTGTTGTGTCCGAGCTGAGGGATGGAAACTGGGAACCAGGGGTAAGGGTTGGAGGACGTAGAGATACAGTCCTGGCCTTTCTCTAGCAAGAAGCCAACGGAATCCTGAACAGAAGGGTGATTCCTGGAATGGGCAGGCGGAGTAGGATGGGACAGAAGGGCTCCAGTGACCAGTAAATGAGGGATCTGTTCCAAAGGAACCTCTGATTAGGGTTTCCCCAGATACTCAAAAGCAGACTCAATTCATGGGCATCTGGATCTCCTCGAGTGAGGGGTTGGGTGCGTTTGTCTGATGTCTGCTCCAAGTGGGAAGCAGGCTAAGGGCGGGGAAAGGACCATGACTGGGGCCTCCAGACCATGGTCCCTGATGTTGGTGACAGAGCTACCCAAGTAGGATTCAAACCCGGTTTTCTCAAAGGCAGTGGTCCTCCGGGGGCCTATGTTGACTGGCTCTCCAGAGGCAGGAGAAGAGCCCAGAGTGTGGCCAGGAAATAGCTGGGGGAGGCCTCGCTCTGTCCCGCCCGGGGAAGGCCACCGCACCCCCTTCCCGTCGTCTGGGCAGTCGACACTCACCTGCGGGCTGTCCTGGTAGGGTGGGGGAGGGACATTCTGCGTGGCCATCATCGTCAGAGCAGGGGCTGGGGAGGCATGTTGCATCATGGGATTGATTCACATCGAGGATCTGTGGCAGGAGAAAGGGGGCCGCACTGTTAATAGGCTGAGCGCAGGGAGCCCTGGGGACCGGCCGGCTCAACATATTCTCAGGCCAGGCCTCCTGGACTGAGGGCCTACAGCAAGCGCTAGAAGCCCTTTAGGGGAACAAATGAGAGCTAAAGGGGAGAGGCCAGGGTGGGGAGGGGCTCTCTGAGCCATTTTGACTTAAAAGAAATGATATTCAAATCATACGTGAAACAACTGAACACCCCCCACCCCCCAGCCATGCTTTGTACAGCATCAGCTGGGGCCTGGTGGGCGGGGAGGGGCAAGGGAAGGGGAGCCTGGCTGGTGGCAGGACAGGGTACTGGCGGCAATTCGGGTATCCCCCAAGACAAGGGCGCTGGCCCTTTCCCAGGCTTCTGGAACAGCCACCTGTGCTCTCAGGGGTAGGAGGTCTCCTGCCCTAACTCTTCCAAGTCCCACCTCCCTACCCCAGGGTCTGTGAGCACAGGCTAACCCCTCCCAGGCGTGCTCATCACACCCCCTAGTGGCCAAAAAGGGAGGTGGGGGCGCAGGCTGGCTCAGACTGGAGGGTGGGGTGGCCAGGATGGGGAGACCAGCTGGTCTTCAAGGAAGGGAAAGAGGCTGGGGGACATCCGAGAGCCTGGGTTAGCCTCCCGTCACTTGCCGAGTTTTTCTAGGTGTGTGCTTGTGACTGTGGAGCAATGGATAGGTCTGCGATGTTCTTTTAAGTAAGCCTCCTTAGCCTGCATTCAGTACGGAGTCACCAGCATCTTGGGGCCAGAAGAGCAGAGCCAAGACCACCCCCATCCTACAAACAGATGAGGGGACAGAGGGTGTGCGGAGGGGGTGGGGCGGTGCTAGTGAAGCAGGGTTTGGACCCGAATCTCCAGGTGCCCTGTCCCCGGCTGTCCTGCACGGCACTACTCCCCACCCATCACCAGTAAGTGAGCTGCCCCTCCTGGGCCTCAAGTTTTCTTCTTGAAATGGAATGTGGTGCTGTAAGTGGAGACAGCCTGGCAATGCTCCCCACCCCAAGGAAACGGAACGCCCAGAAAGCTGTTGAGCTACACTAGATGCCCTGGAATATTTAGAGCTAGAAACCACAGGCGAGTTGCCTGCCACAGGTCTGTCCATCATGGGGCCCGGAAACTCCTAAAAACCTCTGTGGGGCAAAAACCTGTGCTTCTCCTGGGTGGAGGGTGCTGATGAGCTAGAAACATTTGTGAGCACAGACTCAGAACTTCCCTCCCCTCTCCCTGAGAGCACTGTGGGTCTCCCTCCTCGTTCCACTGATGCCTTCCCATGCCTTCCCTAGGGTCTTCTGGAATGTTCACATATGTGAATTCTGTGGTAATGTGAGGGTGTTTGGAGCTGCCTAAGGGAAGGGCCTGATCTCCAGCACCCTGAGGGGTGTGTGTGTTTGTGTATGAGACAGAGTGTGGGTGTTTTTTCATTATTTTTCAGGAAAAGGAGGAAGTAGGAAGCCTGGCCTGACCTGAGTCTCTGGCTATGCTCGGACCTTAAGTGCGTGCGGAAACACGGGACGTGTAGGTGTTCATTCACGGACTATTTATTTATCAAGTGTCGTCTACACGCTAGGAGGTGTGGGAGAATAATCAAGAGGAGGCAAGCTCTCCTCTCCAAGGAGTGTTATCAGTCAGGGAGGTGATGGCCCAGCAGGCAAGAAGAAAGAGAAATGAAGGTTCCAGAGGAGACACAAAGGGACAAAGGGCTTCTGCTGGGCCTGTAGGGCATCCCCTTGGCCTCTCTGCCACCTCCCCTCGCCTCCCCTGGCTTTACCTCAGATGACAGACCACCAGGATGTCTTTGCAACAGAAACACTCAGGGTCTCCCCACCTCACGCACACACGAGGCACCCAGATCCATGCTGTATTTTTGCCAAGAGTGTCAGAAGGGAGCCCTCGGGGGAGCCTGTCACTTCAGGCGGGAAAACCAATGTCTGTCTTCGTGGCTGGCTTTTTGTCTGGGTGGCGGTAAACATCCAAGGAAGGCAAGAGCAGAGTGGAAAGTGTTCCCGAGGGAAAAAGAGGATAGAGACTCCCTGAGATGTCCGAAGAAACTTCCAGAATGAAGACATTTGAGAGATTAAAATGAGTGTGGAATCTCTTTTAGACACTGAGGGACAAGAGGAAACTGGGATATTTCAGGAGTGTGTTAGGCTCAGCCTTTCCTGGAACTCTGGCAGATGAGGTAACTTTGGTTGGGGCCTCAGGACCTGCCTTCACACCTCTTCCTTGGAGCTTCCTTGGAGCTCCTTGGCCGGGGAGAAAGAGAGCCACTGTGGGGCTGTAGTGCCAGCAGCCTCCAGAAGAGGGAGCCTGGGGGCAGAGTCTGGAGTGGGAGCTCCCTAGGTGGTTTCTCTCTCCTCTTAGGGGCAACGGGTTCCCTTTAACCTCGGGTTTGGGTCTTGGGGTAACCTCATTTCATGCAGGAGAAAGTCAGTAAAGGCAGAGCAGAGGACACTCAATGAGGAGGACTGGGGCTAAATAGAGGGTTCTTTAATTTGCTTTCTTTTGCTCACTGTCCAGTGAATGGGAGGTGGGGTCATTTTGGAGTTGCTGTCCCTAGAAATATTTGCCATGGCAGGAGGGCTACCCAGCGTGGGGGCAAAGAGAGATGGGTGAAAGGGGTCTGCAGCCAGAAGCAACCACCGACGCCCAGGCTGAGAGGAGATTTTTCAGTCTGGAGTCTGTCAGGCTGGGAGCTGGGGCCAGACCTGCCTTGCCAGAGGACACAAGAACAATTTTCTGAGGACCCAGATGGCCTTTGCCCCTCCCCTCCCCCTCTCTGGGGTCACCACAGGCCACTAGGCCACTAACCCATTGCCCTCTGGGGGCTTCTCCTGCCAGAGAACAGGAGGACTTTTCATCAGGGGCTTAAGTTTCGTCGGTTCTCTGCTCACTCAGGCACGGAAGCTTCTGGTAAGGAGACGCTGGGGGAGACCCCACACCCATCTCCGGAAGCTTGCTCTTTTCTTCACACTACTCCACAAGCACAGGCACTCCCCCGTCCTTGGGGAACCCCACTGGCGAGGCTTGGGGGAGCTGAGGGATGTGTGGAACCTCCCTAGAGAGGGATGTGGGGATCCAACTTCTCTTGTCTGAAGCTGGGCCCAGTGAGACTCCATAGTGGGTGGCGGGAGCTCCCTGAGCTATCCCTGCGTACCCGGCCCTTTTTACACTTTCTCTGGGAGTCCGGAGGGGAGTAGTAGGCTTGGGCTCTAGAAACTGCAGCCTGTGGCTTCCGGCATTTGTCAGTGGCTCAGAGAGGCTGCTCCGCCCTGTGCAGAGGCCCCAGCGCTCTGTTACCAGACACCAGGGCACTCCAGGGAGCGCAGCCAAGATTGCAAATGGAGGATGCACGAGGAATGATTTACCACTGAGAAATTTCCCATCGAAGGCAGGCTCACGTCAAAAGATTGTTCTTAATGTTGAAAACCTTTATTTTAGGACAGCTGGGAGGGAGGAAAAAAAAAAAAAAAACCCTAATGCAACATTCAGCCCCACAGTGATCTCCAAGAAGAAATAATGCGTGTCACTGATATTATCAAAAGGAGCTAAAACCGCCATTTTATAGAGCTCAGGGCCCCAGGAAGGCTGTGATGCACAGGTTGGGGGTGGGTGAGGGGACATCAAAAGACACCCCTTTAGGAAGTAGGAATGGGCAGCTGGGGAGCACCCATTCCCTGTCTCAACTCTTGCTCCCCCAGCCCTGCGAGGTGAGGCCCTGGGTCTGTAGCCCCAACTCCAGCGTGTTGACAAACAGGCTTAGAAAAAAATAGCAAGCTCATTAGGAAGGAGCTCATTAGGACTTGTTGACATGAAACCCATTAGACCAATTAACATTCCATTAACGGCCTGGGGCACCAAGGGGTTAATGCTGCCCAGCAGTAATTGGGCAGGGTGCTGGGGTTGGGGGCTCAGGGCCTTAAGGATGAGAAACAAAGTCTAATTGGGAACTCTCTGGCCAGCTGGCCTGACAGCATTTGTTCTCGCCCTCTGACCCCAGCCGAGACTACATTGTATCTGGCACCCGCTTGGAGGGGGCAGGGATGGGACCGCTTCCCTTTGGCTTCTCACAGTCCCGCCTCATGGCCTGAGATGGGAGCCTAAGTGGATGGTGGGCACCTGCCAAGGTGTGGAAGTATTTCCATCCTTTCCTACCCTCATAGTCCTGTTTTCTTCATCCATCCCTGCTCCCACTTCTGGTCCAGTTTCTCTCTTAGCGCCCAGAGAAGCAAGTTCCCTCTCCTCTCCCCAGTTACATGTGCGTGACCCCTGCTTACAAAAGCTCTTTGGAGAAGCTAGAATTCTTGAGGGCCCAGAACCTGATTCATCTGAAGAGTGTTATAGTTTAGGGCAGAGGGGCGAGGGGAGGGAACACTGGCCCTGGGTCTTTCTTCCTTCCTCCCTTTCCTCCCTCCCTTCCTGCTATCCTTCCTTCCCTAGGAAGGAAGCTAAGAGGCACTGAGGAGGGCCCCATAAAAGCCCTTCTCTTCTGTCCTCTGACACACACCAGCAGTATTTTCATTATTCTCCTTCCCTAGCTACACGTGGAGGCTGTGGAAGTCCCATCCCCTGCCTGGGCCTCCTTTTCCTCTTTTCGTAAATTCCCTTGCTCAAAGCCTGTACTCAGGGTCAAAAAGTCTGGAATCCTCATCTAGCTCTGTCATGTATCTGTGGCCAATACAAGTCAAGTTCCCCTCTTGGACTGCAAAATGAGGGATTTTACCAGAATATTCTGGAAGTGTTTGTCCATGGTGAGCCCTCAACACAAGCTTGGTTGAATGGAAGGGAGATAGTTGGATTGTAGCTTCATTTCTTTTTCTTTTTTTTTTTTTTTTAAAGATTTTATTTATTTATTTGACACACAGAGATCACAAGTAGGCAGAGAGGCAGGCAGAGAGAGAGTAAGGGAAGCAGGCTTCCTGCTGAGCAGAGAGCCCGATGCAGGGCTCGATCCCAGGACCCTGAGATCATG